TGTAAATGGATCATAAATCTTGCTAGGTCAATATCCCCTATCAACATAGCTGCCTTGTCTTCCTTGCTTGACTGATGAGACAACCCAACAACATATAAACTCATTCTACTCCTCATGTCCGCAACCATCTCTGGAGCATAGGGGGAAAGTTGTGTGAACCTCAGACTGTACTCATGAACACTCATAGACTCCGGGTTAAGGGTGAGAAACTCTTTTATCTTTGCCTCTCGCAACTCACGAGGAAAGAAACACCCCATGAGGGCACTCTCAAACACAACACAACTCACTACTGGTGCATCCTCAGCCCTATTCTTTTTCAATTGGTCAAACCAGATTCTAGCAACACCCTTCAATTGGTATGCAACTAGTTCCACTCTCTCTGACTCAGCAACATGCATCACATCAAATACCATTTTTAGCTCCTCAGTGAAGTTCTCCGGATTCTCACTAATACTTGAACCTGTGAAGCTTGGTGGGTTCATCCTTAAGAGTTCACAGATCCTTGAAGTATCAACCACTTCGTGTCGATTGTCTCTCTGCCTAACATGAAAGGTCGCAACTTGACTTAACATCCGGATAGCTTCACGAAAAATCAGCATATTTGATCTCTTCTTGGGTTTGCACTTCTAGGGTATTCGGTAACTTTTGTTCCTCAACACTCTTCATGGTTGGACGAACTCTAACTGCTCTTCATGGAGGCATAATCCTCTGAAAACACGCGCAAACATGAATTAGAAAGAAACTTTTTAGAGATAAACTCTAACGCACGAAATGAATGTGAAAGAAGTGAGATAGTTCCTAAATGTTGCAGCTTCGTAATTATAGATGTGGCGCGCTTCACACCGATAACTAGGACTCTACAGACACGGCTTCATAGACCTCGTAGGACTCTGGAACTCTGTGCTCTGATACGAAGTTTGTCACGGCCCGAGCCTACACCCTAGACGTGGCCGACACTCGAAATCACAACCGGAAACAAACACCAAACCAATAAGAAACTTCAACAACACAAGCACTACTTCTACAAACACAACCACAAACTTCAACAAACACAACCAATCTTTTCTCGGAATTAAAACGAGTTTGGCGTGTGGGGGAATGAATCAACCAAACACTATGATCTCACATAACTTAATAGGGATCACCCCCGACGAAATCCACGATGATCTCTACGAAACTTGCTTCTTCTTCTCCTTCTCCTTTTCTTCTCCTCTTCTTCTCCTCTTCTCTCTCAAAGCCCTAACCCTCACTTTTTAAAAGGGAAAACTGATTCAAAATCAGTTTAGACCCTTAATATAACTAAAAGAAATGGTTAGGGAAAAGACCAAAATACCCTTACAAATTTGGACAAAACTGCCCTGCCAACAACCCAACTTCCAAAGGGCAAAACTTACTCATACAAACTCGGAATCGCGCAAAATTGGCGGCGTTGGAAAGATCATTCCATGAGCTTTCCAAACATAACTGTAAATACACATAACTCATCCTGAGCTAGGATTTATGACTGTCTGAAGTTGACCAAAAAATCATTTTTTTCCATACTTAGAAAATAACTATTTCCAAATCTAAGCTTCTTCATAGCTATTTCAAATTGCCGGATGTTACGATATCAACAGAAGATATTGGTATCAAGGATAGCTTATCTTATGAGGAGATTCTGGTTAAGTATCTAGATCGTCAAGTTCGCAAGTTGAGGACTTAGGAAGCAACCTCAGTCAAAGTTCTTTGGATGAACCAGTTTGTTGAGGAAGCTACTTGGGAAGCTGAGGAGGATATGAAAAAGAGATATCCATGTCTCATTGAAACCGTAGAAATGCCAGACCAAGGTACTAATTATCTTCTTAGTACTCTTTAATTTATAAGTTAGCATATTGTAATTGCATTGCTTGTTGGGTGTTTGAGCTGAATTGTACATGTTACACCTTATCCTATTAAGAGTAATCTCATTCGAGGGCTAATGTTCCCAAGGGGGAGATATTGTAACACCCCGTAACTAGAAAGAAGTTAAAAATTGGAAATAGTCATTTTTGGAAAGAATGAAAAATCTAGAAATTTGTTAAGTTATGTTAAGTTTGAGTTTTTTGTCAACTTCAAACGATCATAACTCCTATTTCAGAATGATTTAGGCGCGTTTCCAGATATTTTACGAAAAATCTTGGAATAATCTTTCCAAAGCCGCCGAGTTTGCACGATTCCGAGTTCGTATGAGTGAGATATGCCCATTTGAAGTTGGGCTGTCCAAATAAGAAAAGTCTAACCCGGATTTTTGAAGGGCATTATGGTCCTTTCAATACCCCATGACTTAATTTCATTTTTGGTAATTAATTAGGGTCTAAACTGATAGGATTCAGTTTACCCTTTTCCAAAAAGATCTTGGGTTTTGAGAGAAGACAAAAGAAGAGGAGGAAAGAGGAGAAGAAAGAGGGATTCGTCGATTTCTTGGAGATTTTCGCATGGATTTCGTCAAGGAGTGATCCTTTCAAGCTATGTCAGTTCACACAACGTTGGTTTCTTTCACCCACATGCCAAACATGTTTATTTCAGTATGATTTTCATCATAAAAGATTGAGACTTAGATGTTCTTGAGTTGTATTTTTGAATTGCTTTCGTTCTTGAATTTTGGATGAGATTGAGGAGTTCCTAAGAGTTTAAGGTCGATTTTAGAGTTGTGTTTGATTAGATTCTTGTGTACATATGCTGGGTTTCTGAATCTAAATAGAATTGGAGAAAAAAAATCAAATTTAGGCGAATTGGGGATGAAAAATGAAGAAGGAATAAGTCGGGCAAATCTGGGTACCAGGTCCGCGACGCGTACCTGTTCCTCATATTTGGAAAATCTTTCTCGCATCGAGGAGCAGTCATGGACCGTTCTGCCTCAACATTTATTTAGCGATCAAATAATTAAATGCATCTCCGCATCGTGGACTTTCTTCCAGACAGTGATTTCTTGATCTTTTCTCATGTTTAACTATCTAAAACCACTCCAAAACATCGTGAGATCTTTCCTATCAAAAATCAGAACCTTGAATCCATAATTCAAATCAAAGAAAGTTAAGAGTCAAGTCAATAGAAGTTAAGAGTCAAGTCAAGAGAAGTTCAGAGCCAATTCAAGAAAAATGCATAGAGTCTTCCAAAAGTCTTTTACAAATGTTTTAACTTTCTTTTAAGACTTGAGTTTTGAGTTGAGTAAAGAGTTAAGTTGAAGTTCATTTCTTCAAAGTATATGGGGACTACATATTCCCAAAGAGTTAAAATGTTTTCACATTTAAACAAGAAAGGAAACTGAGATTTCCAAAGAGCCTTTGAGCTAGTTTTCAGTAAACAGAAAATGTTTACACATTTAAGCAAGTAAGGAAATTGAGATTTCCAAAAGAGCCTTTGAGCTAGTTTTCAGTATAGAGTCACTGCTTTCACAATAAAGGAACAGAGGAAATTTGATTTTAAAGATAGCCTTTGAGCTATGTTTTTGAGCAATTATCTCAAATCACAGAAGGAAGTATGTTTTTTTTAAACATAAGAGCTAGTATCATATTTTTTGGAGTAGTATTGAGCACCGATATGGGGGGAATTTAGACAACTCATAGCCCCCATAAACCATGTAGCCATCATGGGTAGAAAAGGATCATACTTTTTAGATGATTCCTTAGTGCTTTTTAGCATAGACTAGAGGATCCACTTAAAAGTTCAGGTTCTATACTCATGGTAAGGTATAAGACGGCTTGGTAGCATGAGGCAAAATGTTGTATCATCATGATAGCTCTTATGTGATGGTTGTTGGTTAGAGAAGCTCCCACTGTAGTATTTTATATTTTTATATGCATCCGAAATATTTGTATTTTCATACATAAACAGAGTTCATATTGTATCTTTGAACACATACAACGTTATTATTGTATTTCTAAATAGAGAGAGTTGAAAACCATGTTTTAAAGCTTTTCTTTATACTTTATTTATTTACACTACTTTATATTGAAATCAGTTCAGTTCAGTTGAGACTTCTTCAGTTCCTTTCAAGCATATGTCTTGTTTTTGAATTCCCTTCACATACTCGTATATTCATTGTACTGATTCCATTTGGCCTGCATCTAATTATACTGCAGACACAGGTAACCATGATCAGCATCCAGCGCATCATTGATCCAGTTGAGCACTCAGAGTCTTGTGGTGAGCCTCTTTGCTTTCCGGAGGATGCCTTTTATTGCTTTCCAGTATTTAGTTCACTAGGATGTTGTGGGTCTTGTCCCGACATCCATCTCAGTTATTAGAGGCTTCATAGATAGACAGTAAGTTAATTCATTTGTCTTTACTTTGTTGTTCGCTTATGTTCAGATTTTACTTGCCATTTTAGCTAAGTAAATGTATATTTCTAAAACATTATGAGTTTAGTTTGAGAGAGTTGATTTATCTTGTTTTTGAGTTCTTTCTTAATGCTTAAAGTCTTCCGTTGAGTAAGTAAGCCAGGCCAAGGATTCGCTTGGGGCCAGCAATGGTTCTCGAGTGTCAGCCATGTCCGGGGTGTAGGCTCGGGGCGTGACAATATATATATATCTTTAATATGGTATACCAATTAATAAATTCGAAATCACATTCTTACTATAAAAGCCTAGTTGTATGTGATCTCCTAACAATGTACATCTAATAACTTTAGGCCTAAAATATATTTAATAATAATTACCAAAATTCAAGTTGACATATCTATAAATTTTTCAAAAGTCATTCTTATCCTAAAAGATATCAATAATTTTAAATATGTTATGTCAATTAATAAGTCCACAAATAGATTTTACTATAAAAGTTGAATGCAATTTCTTTCATAACCACAATCAAGAAAAATATATCTTTTTTTACATAGTATATTCCATCTCAAGCATGGTTTCTACTTATTAACTTTATATTTACAAGATTTTTCAATGTCTGACTGTATGTAGGAGTAGTTTTCAGGAGAATATTTACTATTGTAAACAAATTATTATATTGATTTTATTTTATGTGTAGCTAAAATGAATACTTTCATTAACAATAACAAGTTCAACAAAAAGAAAGTGGTGTTCATAATGGGAGCAACAGGAATGGGAAAATCTCGTCTTTCTGTTGACCTTGCCACCCATTTTCGAGCAGAAATAATCAACTCGGACAAAATGCAAGTATATAAGGGACTTGAAATGGCTAAAAAAAGATCACACACACTGAGAAACAAGTTGTACGGGACTATTTGTTAGGTATATAAATTTATTTCTAACAATATATTTATCAAATGACTTCCTAGAAAATTGAATAGTAGTAATTGTAGATTCTAGTGGAAATATACTTTACTATTAAAAAATTATTTATTCCAATTCTGAGAAAGTTAATTTGATCACATTTTCTAAGGTGAAAATTAGCCAGATTCCGACTTCACAAATTTTTGTTTGCAAGCTATTGCCTACATAGAAAATATTTTGAAGACTCAATGTGTTCCAATTATGGTTGGAGGGCCAAATTCGCATATTGAAAAACTTGTGGAAGACCCTGTTTTCATGTTCAAATATAAGTATGATACTTGCGTTATTTGGATTGATGTAGAGCAATCAGTCTTGAACCGTAGAGTTGATATGAGGGTTGATGACCTATTAGTCAATTCTCAACTACACACTTATACCTTATGGGGTCCTATTACCCCCCGAATTTTTTATTTTCGATATTTTATGACCCTTAAATGATGACTTGTCCAAGAAGGTGAATACACCTCTTGTAGGCGCGTAAGGGTTCAACAAAAAGACATAAAATAACTAAAATTGAACTAAATAATCCGTGTGGCAGTATCTCATTGGATATATAAGTAATTCATTTTTTTTATTCTTTCCCTTTTTTAATATCACAAAATTGTTATACCCATTTCATGATTTCTTCAAGTTTTTTTCAAAGTCTTCCAATCGTGGTCTTCTAAATTTCGTCTCTAGGAGCTCCAAATCAGTTTATAGCTACTGATTTATGCTTAGTTAATCATACATCAACCATTTTTAGTAACAACAATCACCTAACTCATAAGAAACTTTCATATATGAAGCTTAAAAATGGAGTTCAAGGTTTTTCTTAAACCCCTCATAATTTCAATAAAAATAAATAAATAAAAAGAAGTCAAACCACAATGAACCAACAATGGTGAATTTAAAATTTCACTTTCTAATTTCATTGTTACCAAATTTATTTTTCAGTCCCACATTTATGAATACTTATTTGTGGAATTTTGTTTTTTGGTTGGATTTCAAATTGAAAGTTTATGTAGACTAGCTATGGAGTTGTTCTTCTTATTTAATTTGGTGTAGAGAATTTTTCATCATTTTCTCTTATTATTCTCTAAAGAAATCGTTCTTATTTTGGAAAAACAATGTCTATGTGAAAGCACTTTTTGTAAATTTCAATTTCTAAGTTTGATAAAAATGGAATTTTTACATAATTTTACAGGGGATTTTTAAATTATTATTTTGTTAAGGCTTATAATTTACAACAAAAAAAGAAAAAGAATTAAAAAAAAAATGTACAGTGATTCATCGCGTGTGCTGCACAGCTTTGACATAAAACTGGTTATGCCTTTTTAGGGAGGTGATTATTCCATATTTAAATAGTTCGGGGGAGGGGGGGGGGGGGTAATAGGACCCGCATATAGAATAAGTGTGTAGTTGAGAATTGGCTAATAGGTTGAGGAGACTTTTGACTATTTTCTCTTTGGATTGATGTAGAGCAATCAGTTTTGAACCGTAGAGTGAACATGAGGGTTGATGAAATGGTCAGTGCAGGTAATTTTTTTAATTGTTTTATATATCAATCAAGATATAATCATTCATCTAGCTAAAAACTTTTCTTATTTAATTTTCTTAATAATATATTTGGTTATCAAATCTATATTCCACTAAATAAAACTCTTCTTAAATTAATGTTGCATGCACGACTAGTAGATGAGGTGCGACAAATTTTCATTCCAGATGCAGATTACACCAAAGGAATCTGATGGTCCATTGGTGTTCCCGAAATGGACAGATATTTAAGAGAAGAAACCAATATAGACGAAGATGATGAATCAAAGAAGGCGATTCTTCAATCGTCAATTGCGAATATGAAGCGTAATACTCGTTTATTAATTTGTCACCAACTTGACAAGATTCAACATTAATAAATGAGAAAATGTGGTTGGTGTATCATATTATTTCTACTGACATTTTCAAAGGAGATAGAAAATAAATTGTTGATAAAGAATGGAGGAATACCGTTTAGCAACCATGTGTGGATATTGTGAAAAGATTTCTCAAAATAGAAATGATCACAATATAATTATTGAGTGAACATAAACTATCATTATCTCTAGCTTGAGTTATTTTGTCTCTTCGGCACTTTAATATAGGACCTATTTTGTACAGTTTGTATCGCATTACAGATATATATATTAAATGACCCTTCTTTCTATATATATTATTCTTGTCTGTAAAAACATTGTTATTTATAGAGCAAATATTTAAGCTTTCTAAAAATATTTATTTTATGTTCCGATCCAAGCCCAAGCCCCAAGTCCAAGTCAAGTACAAGTCTTCTATATTTAATATATATTAATATAAATACGTACTTACACAATTACATGAGATCATTCATAATGTAAGGGTAATAGAGTGAGAAATAAATTATCATAAATGTTCGGGAAGATTCTACGCTAAAAGAATTTGAAAGAATAGAATTCTTAACTCCAAATTTAAAATTGTTACATAGACATAGAAGAGAAAATAGTAAATTTCCAATCTATCGGTAATGATCATTTAAGGAAATATATTCTACCCAATTCAATCACGGTGATGGAAGCTTGATTCAATAAAATCTTATCCATTATTTCATGCTGCACAAGTAAATATAAATACTTGTAATTGAAATAGTTATCGATAATTGTTCCCTTCCCTACAATGGAATTAGACTTAACACTTATGACGTGTTGTTAAATAGTGTAAGAATTGATGAATTATCACTTGAATATATTCCTTCAGAAATATTATTGAGTTCTTTTTACAATCCTTTTGAAATTGATCTTTTCGTCAATTAGGTGTGTGATCTCATAACAATGTTGTCACGACCCTGACCATCGTGATTGACACCCACACTACCCTCCTGTGGGAGAACCATTACTACAACCCAAAACAAGCAACTAATCCAAAAACTAAGGCATTTAAGTTATGGAAGCAAGTTAAATACTTAAGGAAATAAATAGAGTTCCCATAAATTCTAACAAAAGTCTAGCAATAATAAAGTAATCATTGTTCAAGTACGCATACAACCTATAAGTCAATGTAGCAAACATCTAAAGTTTCAACAAGTCTAAACTGTCACGCCTCAGATCTGATTAAGATGGACAGGCACCCGATGTCTAAGTGGCTCGGGAGAACCAACTTACAACCTGCACTTACCATACATTTAACTATGATAACTATGAAGCTATGACAAGCTTATATGCCGTGTAATGATAAAAGACCGACATAGACAGGCCCAAAACTTATGTACAACACTTGGCCGTGGAGGCCACAATTGTGAAGAGACAAGACACAACCAAACTTTATACATTAGTCTACAAAGCCTCTACAAGATAGACAACCTTAGTTTAGGTCGGGACAAGGCCCCGCCTTACCCTTATATACTATACGGTAACAAAATAGATGGCAAAGACTCGATTAAGCCCTGAATCAACTTGGACCTCACCAATAGCAGCTGAGTGTCCTATAATCCTACTGGGGAGGTCTACTAGCTGGAGTGCCTGTGGCTGCAGCATGAAATGCAACGTCCCCCGAGAGGGACGTCAGTACGAATAATGTAATGAATATGTAAGGCAATAACATATGTAAACAAGAGCTCAATTGAAATCAAGTATCAATATGTAAATGCATAGATCAGATTAAAGACCACCCTTGTTGCTGTTGTGGGATCACGTACATTATAATCTGTTCTGTAATTTTCTTTACATTGCGATCTCTGTAAAGCATGTGATACAAATAACCAACTGATCAGTGGTAAAAGAGGATGACCCATGCTAGGCATTTTAACCCCTGAGATGTTGTCCTCAAATATATAAATTTGGGATCGACCCATGCTAGGCTTTTGCCCCTTGGCTACCACCCTTACACATATACCGCTTCATATAGTTTCTTTAATCTTTGAGATTGTTATTTTGGTGGTCATAATTATTTTTGAGCATCAGAACTGTGGATCAGTAGTAGGAAACATGTGAATATGCACTTAGGGCAGTAACAATAACACAAGATGGAAATGTAACACTAATTAATTACATAAGAGCTCAAATGACACAATGGACCTCATTTGATTGACAGGAGGAATCACAAAGTTACTGCTGAAATTACCCTTTTCTCATACCAATACTTGGAAAAGTAAAGATGCACACATATATTGAAGCAATTCGACACACTAAGGAAAGGGTAAATATTGTTAGCAGTGTTTGGGATTGTACGGTGCCACTATGTGTCTTTTACTTGAAAGAGCACTTAGGAAGCTCACTTGCTGGTAGTGACACAAGCAGAGTTCATGCCAAAGAATATAGAATCGAGTAATCTTACATACCTTGTTGTACCACTCAGATAGTACAACGAATTAACCTCTTTCCTTTCCGATTATTAATCTACAATGAAATAAGTAACACAACTAATATTAGTAGCTAACCAACAGATTGGGCTACTTGAACTTGGCAAACAGTAATTAGGCAGCAATCCCATATTTATCAAACCGATGGTATGCATTCCACCCCTTCTCCTTTAATAACGTTATATACAATACGACCTTCTAATAAGATCCCCTGAAAATCCTCGATCTTTATAACATATGCAAAACAATATACAAAGGGGTTGCAAGCAGCAAGCTCATGCAATGCCCAATTAGATGGTACGTTACTGCACCCTTTACCGTTTTATCCTTTAACAAATTCTCATGACTTCTGCACATGCCTCCTTATGTTACTATACACAAATCAGTTTCTAAACATCAGAATGTGACATTAGCAATATGAACTCACGGTTTCCGACCACTGCCCCTTGAGAATCCAACTAACATTACATTTAAAATGCTCAAATGGGCTAACAATTGAGTTAAAGGGGGCTCCCCTCCATGGCTGTCCCAACATGCACAATCAACCAGAACATTCCCCAATCTCACACCATGTAAAAGGAACAATTCTCAGCTCATTAACACATACCAAATCCCCTAACCGATTCAACCACAAAAGAGGGATGAAAATTTTAGTAACTCAGCTTGTTGGACAACAACCTCACTTGCTAACTTCAAGGTTCAGGTTGTCTTTTCCAAATTATCTTAAGGTGAAATCAGTTCCTCCTCTTGAATTTCTTAAGATGGGAGATGTTACAACAACTTGTAATTGAAAAATAAAGGGTTTTCTCAGATTTTTATTAGTGAACTTGCAGGCCAGCACTTTGGAGCTTCTAGGGTTTCTTTTTGGGAGTAAATTGTTGTAGAACAAGTGAGAGATATATGAAATGAATTTCATTCTCTTAAGGGTCCTTTACGGACGTTTTTACATTAAGAAATATGTAGAAATATCTAGTCCCTCACTTTAAGTAAGCAGCTACATCACTCCCTTAATTTCTGCCTGCATCACTTAGTTGCCCTTTTCTTTTAAAATGCAGTCCACATATTTCCTAAGTAGGTGAATCACCTACTTACCACTTATTTAAGTAGGTCAGCAGTTAATCTACCATTAAGAACCTATGTCATCCTTTCTACATAAGCTACACATGTACGTAAGTAACTTAATTACGTAAGACATCCAAATCAGTAGCTTAAGCAAGTAGGTTGATTACTATGACAAATTATACTTTACTTACTCCATTTAGCCTCAAACCTCTTTCGAATATTGTCAAACCTATTTCAAACCCTCACTACTCACATAGAACTAGTATATGCAAAATATGGGACGTTACATCCTCCCCTACTTAGTAACATTCGTCCTCGAATGTTTGCCTAATTATTCAGCTTCAATCAAGTTCAATCAAGCCTATGTTGAATTCTACTGTTAGCCACATAATACGCACAAACTTATACTTACTTGTTACTGCCTCAACTCAACACTTTGACCCTTCTCCTCGGATTGAAATAAATAAGGATATTTGGACTTCATTGCCTCTTCCGCCTCCGATGTAACTTCTTCAACTTGTTGGTTTCTCCATAGTACTTTTACAGAAGCTACTTCTTTATTTCTTAGTTTCTTCACTTGTCGATCCAAAATTGCGATGGGTACTTCTTCGTAATTGAGATCTTCTGTAACGTGTACATCATCCGTATGAGTGATACGAGATAGGTCGCCTATGTATTTTCGAAGCATTGAGACATGAAATACTGGATGGACTGTTGAGAGCTCTTGAGGTAGCTCTAACTCATACACGACTTGACCAACTCTTCGAATAATCTTATATGGCCCTATATAGCGCGGACTCAGCTTCCCCTTTTTACCAAATCTCATTACCCCTTTCATTGGGGGTACCTTCAAAAATACCCAATCTCCTATGAAAAATTCTAGTCCTCTCCTTCTATTATCTGCATATGATTTATGTCGGCTTTGAGCTGTTGCTAATCGTTGTTGTATCACCTTAACTTTTTCCATAGCTTGATGAACAAGATCTGGCCCAAATAAGGCAATTTCGCCCGCTTCAAACCATCCGATCGGTGACTTGCACTTTCTCCCATAAAAGGCTTCATAAGGTGCCATTCTGATACTTGAATGGTAGTTGTTGTTGTAAGCAAACTCAATAAGCGGCAAATAATCAACCCAACTACCTTTGAAATCTAATATACAAGCTCGCAACATATCCTCAAGTGTTTGGATTGTACGTTCTGCCTGACCATCCGTTTGAAGGTGAAAGGCTGTGCTTAAATTTACATGGGTTCCTAAACTCTTCTGAAATGACTTCCAAAAGTTCGCGGTGAATTGAGCTCCTCCATCAGATATAATAGAGATTGGCACTCCATGTAGCCGAATTATCTCTTTAATATA